AAAATTAAAAAATACATATACTTGCCTTGTCATTTATGTAAGTTTGTGATAAAATTAAAAACATGCATATACTTGGTTTGTCATTTATGACAGTTTGTGAAAAATTAAAAAATACATATACTTGCCTTGTCATTTATGTAAGTTTGTGATAAAATTAAAAACATGCATATACTTGGTTTGTCATTTATGACAGTTTGTGAAAAATTAAAAAATACATATACTTGCCTTGTCATTTATGTAAGTTTGTGAAAAAATTAAAAACATACATATACTTGGTTTGTCATTTATGACAGTTTGTGAAAAATTAAAAAATACATATACTTGCCTTGTCATTTATGTAAGTTTGTGATAAAATTAAAAACATGCATATACTTGGTTTGTCATTTATGACAGTTTGTGAAAAATTAAAAAACATACATATACTTGGCTTGTCACTTACGTTAGTTTCTGTGAAAATTAAAAAACATACACTTACTTGGCTTATCATTTATGTCAGTTTGTGAAAATTAAAAACATACACATACTTGGCTTATCATTTATGTCAGTTTGTGAAAATTAAAAACATACACATACTTGGCTTATCATTTATGTCAGTTTGTGAAAATTAAAAACATACACATACTTGGCTTATCATTTATGTCAGTTTGTGAAAATTAAAAAACATACACATACTTGGCTTATCATTTATGTCAGTTTGTGAAAATTAAAAAACATACACATACTTGGCTTATCATTTATGTCAGTTTGTGAAAATTAAAAAAACATGCATATACTTGGCTTGTCCTTTATGTCATTTTGTGAGAAAATTAAAAACATACACATACTTGGGTTGTCATTTATGCCAGTTTGTGACAAAATTCGTTTTTTAACTGTATTCCAAGTCTTCCCTAACTTTTACAGTTTGTTCTAACTTAACATTAACTTTAAAATAAAAACAATAACTTACAGTTTGTTCTAACGTAACATTAACTTTAAAATAAAAACAATAACTTATGGTTTTTTCTAACGTAACATTAACTTTAAAATAAAAACAATAACTTATGTTTTTTCTAACG